TGGAATCTGACATAGATTAACTACGAGATTAAAAATATATTCCATCAGTCGAGGTTCTGAAAGCAGTGTATCCGCTGCCCTGTTGATAGAAATATAGCGTCTGTCCGCGCGTGCGTGTGCGCATGTGGTTTAACACAAAGCCTCAGCGGGAGATGTTTACATTATCATCGAAAAACCTCCACTCTGGAAGGTGGGTTCAGAAACCTTCGGATTCAAAGAGGGGGGCCACTGGTGTCGTGTAAATGATCAGCAGAACCGCAGAGAGAAAGCTGCGGATGCACTCCAAATACACGCCGTGTAAACGGCCCCTTACACAATGTGGTGAGTTGCCAGTTGGGCTTGTTTTCATAGAGCTGGTTGCTTGTTTCTACTGCGAGATCTGGCAACACTGAGTCTGACTCAGTGCTCCCTCCTGGCAGTGCGGACCTAGAAAAAGCACTTTCAAACATGTTTCTGCATGGAAACATAAATTTAGAAGTATCTGAATGAATAACTATTTTTTCATGAATCAAAAAAATTCTTGCTCAGCTGCAAAGTTCCACTGGAATATTGTATTGTACTACGCTGGTGACGATTCTCAGTCATCCAGGACATAATAAATTCAAAAAAGTTCAAGACAAAAATAGCTGGACTTTATTTGTAATAAAAGATGTTTCGCTTCTCATCCGAGGAGACTTCTCTATTCAAAGAACAGAGTGTGGGGTTGGAGTTTTATAAACTGAACTAAGCTAGATACATATGCAGATTGCCCTATTACTCCTCACAATATGGGTTCATTAGAGTCTTTGTTAGTCTGAATCACAGAGGAGCCACTCTGGTGACATGGATGATATTCCTGATAGGCGTGAGAATAACTGGTTGTCAGACCTAAAGCTGCATTATAAGTTTTAGAAAGTTGAAATCTGAGACCTCCTCCTCTGTTTAAAGAGGGTTTCTCTAGTTTTACATGAAGGAAGCCATTTATGTAAAACTCTCATGTAACTCGAACCACACTCTCTCTTCTTTGAGTTGAGAAAGCTCCTCGGATGAGAAGTGAAACGTCTTCCGTTACAAAATATAGTTCAGCTGTTTTTATCTTAAACTTTTGTGAATTGTATTGTACTGTTGATGTAGTTTTGTATTGTACACTGTCACGTTGTATCCCACCAACGTTATCATAGAAACTGTTGCTAATTTTCCTGTTTATTTTGCATTAAGGCTAAAACTAATAATCATAAGATACAAATTGTGTGTAGATTAGAGTTAATTCTAAAAAAAGTTAAATCTGTTCTTCTGGACATTCAAAAAACAAAACAAAAAATGATTTGTTTTGTTTTTTGAATGTCCAGAGGACCAGATTTACCTTTTTCAGAATTTTCTACCTGGATTATTGAGCATGCATCAGGATATTAGAGTTAATTATTTGCTTTGACCCTGCAGTTATAAATTTGCTAACATTGACATTTGTCTGAGACTTATTTTGTAACTTTTTTCCTTTTGATTTCTCGATTTTTGGGAACAATGCAACATCAGTGCCATAAAAGTTTCTGCTTGAGTTGTCCTAATTTATGCTCTCTTGCTGTGCGCCGATGCAGAGCAAGCTTTCCAATTATTCTGATATCTTGCAATGTCTCTACCACTGCCTCTCCTACTAGTTGGTTTTCTATTTACAAATTTTTCAGTTTTTCCACTTCTTCTTGTCCTTTTCTATATCTTCCTTCTGTTGACCTCACCTCATTTCCCTCTTTTCCATTTGTGTCTAGTTGCTATGAGGAAGCAGCTGACTTACCGGCACATGTGTGCTTGGGCGTGTGTTTATGACAATGATGCTTGAGAAGATACAATTCAATTCATCCACTGAGATGTCCCTCTTTAATGGAAATAATGAAATTATTGATTTTACAATTAGCATCCCCGACATTACTGTACAACAAACACACACACAAGACCAAATGGCTTCTTCAGCTTGAGAAAACGTCAGCTGTTGTGAGAGGTGTGAATGGAAGTGTGCGATCATCTCCTCTGTGTAATTGTATGGAAGCGTGGAGTTGCGTTAAGCCTGCCAGCTGTTTGAAATACAGCTGCTGGGGAGCTGACATATAGAGGAAGTCGCCTTCCAGCTTTCTGTAATCCAGCTCACAGGAGACGCAGCCAGCCTTCCAGTCAGCCCACAGACAACAGACAGAGTCCCGGAAAAGGCACTTGACATTTTACTGGCATTTCACAGAGAGGACTCAAGGGTTGGGCTCCTCATTAAATTCTTGTCTCCCACTTCTCAAACACACGATAGCTGTGGCCCAAAGAGAGTTTGTTGAACCTTCAGTCAGCAATGGGACCCAAATGGGAAATGGGTGGGATAAAAATAGATTGCTACACTGTTTGAGTATAAGAACTTCATAGACATTGTTCTTTTGACATCAGAAGTAATGTGAAAAACTTCACTAAAACGAGTAGATGTGTTTGAAGACAAATCAGTGCATACACAAACATCGCAGCAATGTTGGTTTTAAAATTGAGATTTTATGTTTTTCATCTAAACTGGGTTGGTTAAACTAATGTGTTGAATGACCAGATGTAACTTTTACAAAGTGTAATCATGTACATATTGTTTCCTTAGATTTGTGTGCAGTCATTCAACAAGCAGATAGTAAAAAAAATAACATGTTCATACAACTTATTGCATTTTTTTCCCAATCAACGTATACATATGAATAAAAAACATTGGATAATTCCTTTAAAGAAATAAACATTTCCCAAGAAAATTCAGTGTAGCCCATGCAAAAGCTTTAAATCATACCATGCCATACCATACCATACCATACCATGCCATGCCATGCCATACCATACCATGCCATGCCATACCATACCATGCCACGCCACGCCACACAGTACCATACCATGCCATGCCATACCATATGATAACATACCATACCATGCCATGCCATACCATGCCACGCTATGCCATGCCATACCTTACCACACAGCACCATACCATACCATACCACGCCACGCTACGCCACGTCACACATTACCATATCGTACCATGCCATGCCATACCATACAATAGCCTACCATACCATACCATGCCACGCCACACAGTACCATACCATACCATGCCATGCCATGCCATGCCATGCTATACCATACCATACCATAGCATACCATACCACTTTATTTATAAAGCCCTTAAAAACAGCAACAAGGCCAACCAGAGTGCTGTACAGGAAAATAAAACAAGCAAAGGTCACAGCAAAAAATACATAGATCCAAATAGATAAAGCTAACTAAATGGCTAACATTGTATACAGACAAGTTAGTCAACTCACACAGTGTTAAAAGTCAGAGAATAAAAGTGTGTTTTTAAACGAGACTTAAAACCAGTGAGAGAGGGAGCCTGCCTGACATGCAGTGGTAACTCATTCCACAGTTTTGGACCTGCAACAGAGAAGGCCCTGTCACCTCTGAACTTAAAACGAGTGCCTGGAACCAATAAAAGCATCTGGTCTGCTGACCCAGCGCACTGTGGGACATATGGCTGCAGCAGATCAGCGAGATAGGATGGGGCAGAACGGTCAGAAAGGAAATCAGCTATAAATACTATGTTGAGAAAGTCCATATATGTCATTTACGACAAAATAAAAACTTCTTCATAAAATAAATGTTTTGTGACGATCTTTTTAAGGTTCATATAATATGTAAATATTTTTGTGCATACAGCCATTGAAGAACTTCACACTATTTTTGTTTTGTTTCATGTTTTCATCTTTTTTTTTTTTTGTTAAATTTGACTTGTCAGTTTTCGTATTTGTCATTTTAGCCCACAGAAATTAAAAGTGCACATTGCAAACTATAAAATCCAAATTGTAAAAAGTTATCCTGATTTACACCAGAAGGTGCAGTTTGAAGAGTTTACTCAGTTTTTCCAGATATATTGAAGTGCAATTCTAAAATGTGGGTGCACACGAAATGTAAACAAAGCTGCCACGTGGACACTTGAGTCACGTGACTGATGTTATTTTGTCTGTAGTCTGTGCAGATAAACATGCCAGAAAAGAGAAAGAACAAGTAACACTACAGTCAGATATTTGTATAGATCCAAATTGTCAGACGTCTTCATCTCAAGCGGCTCTTGCATTGACGTTGTTGTTCTGGTTGCTGTCACTTTGGATGTTTTTGTAAGTAAAGAAACGTGTTTGTTGCAAACCATTCATAAATTTTGCTTACAAATTCGTAATTTTAGTAAAAATTAACCAACGATATGAGAACGAAATGTGCAGGTGTTGTTTCCTACTTTCTCACTTTATTTATTTATTTTTTTTTAACCAGTTTTTTGGACATTACAATAAGTTATTTTAAGCAAAGAGCAAGAAGTGATTGGTACTGTGTGTATGTGGCAGACTCATCCAGCCTCAGTGCACAGCTGCCATCCTATGGAAAACACAGTGCACTGCACGGCAACTGATCACATGTCCTGAAACAAAGTAGCAAATTACTTTTTGCACGCTTCAATCATAAATTTATGCACTTTAAAGAACAATTGCTGGATTGTAGTGTAAAATATTTAGAAGGTTTGTAAAAGAAAATGAATAAGAGAGAGTAGTTTTTGATTTGCTTTAAATCTTTCAGCATCTCTGGAAGAACTATGGAAGGCTCTTACTGGTATGCTCCGAGCACTTTCGAAGCGCCCTGCAGGCGAATGTTATGGCATCTCTGCGAGGCTCCTGACTCAGTGCTGTGTGAATCATGAACGACAGGAGAGGCACTGCTTCATCGCCTCTTAGTTGCTAACACATGGCTCATTTCTAAACACCTTAAGTGAGCTAAAGCCTCCAGTTTCAGCTGTGCAGGGAAGCAGTGTCCTACAGCTCTTCTCACTCTTTCCCACAGGAATATTTTAAAGCAAACCTGCTCTCTGTAAAGAATATTTTCAGAGCAGCAGTGCTGTGTGTTTTTAAAGACTGAAAAATGACTAGAGAGCATGAACTTTGTTGACTAGAGACTTGTGTGTGTGTGTCATTCAGGTTACCATGGCTTGTACTGTGAGGAGGAGTACAATGAGTGTCTGTCTGCTCCCTGCCAGAACTACGCCACCTGCAGGGATCTCATCAACGCTTATGAGTGCGTCTGCACGCCACAGTTTGAAGGTACGTGTGAACTAGCAGGACACCTCCATGTTATAATGTTAAAGTGACAAATGCGCAGAATAATGAATCATGACACGGCACTTCTGAATGTGTCTGCGCAGGAAGACACTGTGAAATCTACAAGGATCCATGTTTGAAGGTACGCTGCCAGAATGGAGGCCGCTGTGAGAGTGTGGCACTTAACGCCTCCTGTGCCTGTCCACCCGGGTACCAAGGTGAGCACTGACGTTTGTGAAGTTCAAGTCCAGTGATCCAGTGACAAGTTAGAACATGACCCAAAATGGAGCAAAGACACAAAACATCTAAAAGGGAAGCACACACTGAGCACAAGAAGACTTGTAACTATTATGATAAGACACTAAACATCTGCTTTATACACACTGTTAATCTGGGATTCTTGATCAGTGGTAACATAAATGGTTCAAGATCCAAGGTTCAAGAATCTTTATTAACCTTAACAATGGCAAAACTCCAGGAGTTGATGGGATATCAGGCAAATATTATAAGGCTTTTCTGAACGTCTTGACACCTATTCTATATAAAGTCTACAACTATGCTCTGACAGAGGGAGACCCCCCAGGATCATGGTCGGAGGCAGTGATCAGTGTTATTCACAAAGAGAATAAGGATCCGACTCTTTGTACCTCCTACCGTCCAATCAGTCTTATGTGTGTAGATATGAAAATATTAACCTCAATACTTGCAAATAGAATTCAGAAGTATATAAAAAAAATCTGGTTAAACCTGATCAAACTGGCTTTATTGTCAATAAACAAGGGTGTGATGATATTAGAAGAGCCCTAAATTTACAAATAATTGCAATGAAGGACACCTTATCGATGTTTCTTGGTCTAGATGCAGAAAAGGCCTTCGACCGAGTGGACTGGTTTTTTCTAGAGCAGTCACACAGATATATGTGTTTTAAGGATGTATTTGTTGACTGGATAAAAATATTCTATAGGAACCCAAAGTCCAGAGTTAGAATAAATGGTCACTGTTCAGATTTCTTTCCTCTGGGACGCGGCACATGCCAGGGAGATGCTCTTTCACCTTGTTTATTTGATCTTAATATCGAGCCTTTGGCAGAGCTAATAAGAGCAAATCCCCTCATACGAGGTATAACAGACGATGCAAATATACAGCATTAAAATTGCACTTTTTGCTGATGATATTTTAGTCTTTTTGGAGGAGCTGATCACCTCCATACCTGCTCTTCTAAGATGCTTAATGAATATAGCTATGTCTCTGGATATAAAGTTAATACCAGTAAATCAGAAGCAATGATGATTGCTGGCAATTGGCCGTCCAGATTAAATAATTTAGTCTCCTTCAAAAGATCCTCCCATGGATTTAAATACTTAGGCATTAACATTACCCCAAAAACTGCACAACTTTTTGACGCTAATTATGGAAAACTTCTTAAGGAAATCAAAAAGGATTTGGAAAGATGGGATGTACTCCCTTTATCCCTTTTAGGTAGAATAGAAACAATAAGAATGAATATACTGCCAAGATTATCATTCTTATTTCGATCCCTTCCAATATTAGTGTCACAATCTACATTCAAAACCTTTGAAAAGCTTGTGTCAAAGTTTATTTGGCAAAACCGAAGGCCAAGGGTGCGATCTAGGACTACTTAATTTTAAACTGTATTACTGGGCGACACACTTGCGTGTTATTTTGGCCTGGATCACTAATAAAATAGAAACACAATGGGTCTCAATTGAACAGAACTCAATCCCTGGGTTGTCATTGAGTATCCTACCATTCGTGAGCCAAAGCTATCTAAAAAAGTTAAAAATTAACAACCCTTGAATTCTACAAACTCTGAAGACATGGACTCTAATTCAAAAACGACTTAAAAGTACTAGAGGACTATTGCGTGCCATGCCGGTTGTGGGTAACATTGAATTTATACCATCTATTTCAGATAGTGTCTTTAAAAGGTGGGCAAATAACGGTTTGATTGGACTGGACCATTTGTTTTATGGGCAGACACTAAAATCATTCTCTCAATTGCAACATCAATTTTCTCTGCCTTCAGATGATCTATATAGATATCTGCAGATTAGAAATTATGTAACAAAACATGTGGAATGGGATAATATTAAGAAAGAACCTAAGGATATTGAAGCATTTTTTTATACATGTACTTGAAAAGCAGACACTAACCAATAAATTAATCTCTGTAATGTATAGAAAATTGTTGACAAATTTGTCAGATAATACATTATATATTAAACAACAGTGGGAACTGGAGATGAATGTAATACTAACAGACGAAACTTGGGAAAATGTATGTTCTCAATGCCATCAAGGGATTGGGAGCCAGATCTGGAAAGAGTTTGACTGGAAAATGAAAACTAGATTTTTTTTAAACTCCTTTAAAAAGTTTCATTTCCAAGAATACAACTACAGATAAATGCTGGAGGAACTGTGATATGGTCGGTGACCACACACATGTCTTTTGGGACTGCCCCAAACTTAATACCTTCTGGGAGAACATCAAACAGAAGATTGAGGCCAATCTTAGTACAGATCTTCCCATGGATCCTTTTTTATTTGTGCTGGATATATATCCCAAGGATTTACTCAATAAACATCAATGCTACATTTTGCACATTCTGTTGCTAGTAGCAAGAAAGACTATTACCCTAAACTGGATTAACCCCTGCGGATACAAAAATTGAAACATGTCTATATGATGGAGCGTCTGACTGCCCAACTACAAATGAAAATGGATATTTTTTACAAAGATGATCACGACTGTCTATTTTATTTGACTAAAATCTGTATGTTTCTTAATTCTGCGTGTGTACAGGTATACTGTTTGTTTTGATAGGTGTTTCCCGAACCCAATCTCAGCAGTTTTTTTTTTGTTTTGTTTTGTTATTCTGATTTATTTTTCAATTTCTGTAATGTGCTGTTGTTTTTTTCTATTTTGAGGCAATAAAGTAAAAAAAAGAATCCTTATTATCCCCAAGGGGCAACTTGTTTCACAGTCAATAGCCACATAAAACATCCATACTAGACAAGACATTAAGACATTAACATTACAGTAAATTAAATTATCAATGTTCATTGAGAAGCCTGATCACTACAGGGATGAATTAGTTGTTCAGTCTGTTCGTTCTACATCTGTGCAGCAGATACCTGCGTCCAGATGGAAGCAACCTGAACTCACCATGGAGTGGATGATCAGGATCTGCCAGAATCAGCCTGGCCTTCTTCACTGACCTCACCTTGTGTAGGTCAGTGAGGTTCTGTAGAGCTACGCCAGCAGTTTAGCTGAACATCCTGACAATCCCCGAGAGTTTGTTCCTGTTTTAGCATGTTAACAATCCAAACCAACAGATGAAGGAGAAAGTTAAGAGACTCAACAAAACATGAATAAAACATTCTCATAAAAGTAGAATCAAGATTAAAACCACAGAGGGTTGGGAGGTCTTTTTTTTCATCCGTGATCTGGTGCTATAAAACCTTTTTCATGCAGAGGCCACAGTCAGCCTGGAAACTAGTAGACCGTCATTAAACTGTAGTTGTAACTGGTTGTACAAACGAGTGTTACTGATGAAAGAGTGCAATACATAAATGTAAAAACAACTAAATAATGTGCTCCTGGATCCTTCTTCTTTTGCTGTTTCTCATTACTGAGTCCCCCCTCACCTGTTTGCACAGGGGAGAAGTGTGAGGTCGACATCAACAAGTGCGAGAGCAACCCCTGTCACCATGGCGGCACCTGTGTCGACCAATCAAACGGCTATACCTGCCACTGTCCACCTGGGTGGGTGGGCTCCAGCTGTGAAATCCGTAAGTCATCCTGTCCGTAAACATCTATGTGGCGATCAGTCAAAAACACCAGAGCTGAAAGGCTGTGTGTGTAAATGTGTGTGTTAGACCTGCAGTGGAAGCCTGCACATACTGAGGACTCCCTGACCAACATGCCTCGGCACTCCCTCTACATCATCATCGGGGCTCTGTGCGTGGCGTTTGTCCTCATGCTCATCATCCTCATTGTGGGCATCTGTCGCATCAGCCGCATCGAGTACCAGGGATCGTCACGTCACGCCTACCAGGAGTTCTACAACTGCCGCAGCATCGACAGCGAGTTCAGCAACGCCATAGCGTCCATCCGTCACGCCAGGTGAGAGGAGAACTCGCATGGACACTCAAAAACTAAAAGTATGTTTGAAAAAGCACAAAACGTGCATCTTGGATTCAAATGGTCCAAAATAAAAAATCTTGGTATTTTTAAAGATGTAATCTTTTCTGTCTTTCTAAAGGCCATGCCCTGTTCTTGAGCTTGACACAGGGACTTAAATAACCAGGCAGCGAGTGAAAAAACAAAAATCAGCCAAAAACTCAGCCCTTGATATTAAAACTGGTGTGTTAAACCATGTTTAGACAAGTCAAACCAGTGAGGACAAAAATGAATGCCAAGAGTAAACAAATCAAATATAGATCATGAATATAACAAATTTACTTGAGTGACTTTGTTCTTTTAACGGGTGACAAAATCTTAAAGGTTGCCGCTTTTATTTTTCCTGGCTCTCTTTTTTATATATTTAATAGCTTATAACCAAAAAGGTTATATAAATTATTTAGTTGGAATGGTTTAATCAGTTGATACATGTGGGAAGGACCGGTGTGTCTTGAAGAGCAGGTTGTTTCGACAAGCTGCATATTGTATTAACAAGTGTTGCAAACAGGCAGAAAAACTCAAATGCTGTTTGATGACAAAGTGGAGCTCAGAAAGTTTCAACTGTGGGGAGTAATTATAAGCAGTCAGTGTTTTACCTGCAGTAAACAGCAAGCAGAACAATCGCCAGTCAACAATGAAGTGTCAGGCAGGAGCGAAACTTTCAGCTACTCAGAAGAAAAACATGTCCAAGAGCAAATTTCCCTCATCTAAAACCACTTTCATCATAACTTATGCAGCCATTCAAATAAAAACTGTGTAGTAGATTTTGTATCTTATTACATTTTCAAGCAGATTCATATTCACTGACTGGATACAGTGAACACAATTTATTTGTTTAACACTGTGAACTGTGTTCTAACCATCAGTCTGAAAAGATGGTCAAACGTCACCCTTTCCTTTTGTTGTTACAAAGTGAATAACTGCTTTACAAATGTTGATGTGGATTTTTGGAGTCTGCGCACTAAACATGTGGAGCTAAGAGTCCCATTTACTGCCCCCCCCCCCCCCCACACACACACACACACAGAATCATGGTGATTTTTAGGCATCAAATAGCAAATTACTCCCTAACATGCTTAAAAAAAAATTGAACATAAAAGTAAGAACTACATGAGTCAACAGAAATTAACACCTGAAATAAAATACATGAGCTGTATTTATATTTTTAGACCCTATTTATTTACTTGGACTCAAGTCTAATACTGCATTCGGCCTACAGAGGCACTCGTGCTGCTTTGACTTCAACATTCACATCATGTTCCTGTGTCTTTTGTCTTGTTATTCATATACGATGATGATGAGTCTTACATGGACTGTAAAATATATATATATACATACAAGGCATTTATTGTCTGTTAGGTGTTCATCATCTGATACATAAGTATTTAAAAGTTGACAACACGGTTGAAATTGTGATTTAAAAAAAAATGTTTGAACAATTTTAAAGGGTACTAAATTGCAAAGGGTACTAAATTGCAAAGGGTACTAAATTGCTCTTGAATAGTCTCTCTTCTTAGTAGTCTTGTCTTGACTTCTTAATTAAAGCATCTCCCTGATTCTCCAAACTGAAATCTTTCTGACTGCTGTCTTGTTCAGGTAAATATGGGCTACTTATCTACTTATCTACACAGAAAGCCACGTTAGAAAACCTGAACAGTCCACTTCAACGATATTTAACCCCTTATGTTGTGGTTCAGATCACCTTCCTGAAAGGCAGCATAACTGACAAGCGCAAACCTTTAATTATCGTTGATTTTGTGACATTTCACATGAACCTGTGAGGTGCATCATGGTAAATGTACAGTTGTTGCACATGTATCAATTTATGGTCTGCATTTTGCATATCCTCCTAACTTGGTGAGCAATGATCAAGTCAGAGAAACATTTTAATCAACTTTTGGTTTCTCAAACAACAAATCCTAAACCATACCAACTTTGTGTTTTCTCACCAGATTTGGGAAGAAGTCTCGGCCTGCCATGTACGACGCCACTCCCATCGCCTACGAGGACTACAGTCCTGAAGACAAGCCTTTGGTTACCCTCATCAAGACGAAGGATTTGTAAAACATAGCCATCTCAAACTATCCAAGCTGGGAACACACACACATTCACAGACACATACATACATGACATCATTATAAAGTTACAAGTATTTCCTATAAGGGGTGGAAAAAACCCGGCAAATTCAACTGAATGTAAAGTGTGAAAAAACATACTGTAGTTAAAAAAAAAAAACACTTTTGATTTTAGTACACATATTTTCCTGTCAAAGTCAACAATGAAGCTTTGTTGTAGCATAAGAGCATACTTAAGTTACAGATGAAGGGCAACGGAGTGAACCAGACTGTCTGTAGGTGGGGGCAGAACGCGGCAGATCACACTGAAACAACCCCAGAGGTGTTGGAGAATCAGACGCACCTCACACGGTCACATCCACTCAATCTGTTCCTGCATTAAAAACCATAGACATCTGCAGTAGGTTGCCTTACTTTGTGCATGGTTAGATTCGGTGTTCCTCTTTGCAATACTCTAAAACCCTTCGTACCCGTTTGTTGTTTTTATTTTTCAGTGCAGACGTGTTCTTCTGTCAGGATTGTGCTGAATGTTTTCTTCCTCGTGGTTAGCAGATGAAATGCGTACAAATATAAAATGTTAGTCACATGATTTTAGTTTTTATTTTCATGCTCATTTACGACGGCCTCGTTCTTTACAGTGCGCGGTGTAAGAATAGTGAAGAAGGCGGGTCTGCTGGAGATCAGAGGCCCTGCAAGAAAACCTCCTGTGTGTCTTTCAGTGATATTTAGGAAAATAGGTAGATGGATTTCACACTTTCACAGGTTTAAAGAAAAGTAGTCTATTTTGCTCGGTGTACCTGTTTATCCCGGTGTACAGCTTCACCCCTAGTGCAGGCAGTGTTGAAGAGTTTCTGGGTGCAAGTTACTTTTTGAGTGTGGCACGTTCAAAGCCACAGAGTTTACAATGGAAAACAGCAAGGAGGAGGAGGAGGAGGAGGAGGAGGCTGACATTGAGGGTATTTATTCCAGAATATTCTGTACGTGCTTGTGTTCTGCCAGTGGAAAACTTTCTGTCTGTGCAGCTATGTTCTCCTCAACTCAAGGTCGAGCTAATCTTTTATTTGTTTTTTCCCCCCGCTCACTTTAAACGCAGCAGCAACAGGATTACCTATTATCTATGTTAAATTATGTAAACAATAAAGATTCAAGTGAACATAATCTGATCAGGTGGTGTCGTGTGTGTGAATTGATGCGTGGGCACAAAACGGCTACAACTTTGTCATCTCGCAGCACAAGATTTAATTTTTTGTTTTGAAAGGTGGCAGGTGATATGCATTATTTTAAGAAATGCAAAGGCTTGCATTCAGTTTAGGAGGAAAAAAAAAAAAATTTCATGCTACGGAGGCCCCCCCCCCCCCCCCCCCAACACAACAAAGACTCCAAATTACAGATGGAGCTTGTTTTGAGAGAAACTACAGACTATGTTTGACATGTCGGTATAACGGTGCACAAAATACAAAAGTATATTTAGACTCCAAACGTATGGTGCCTCAGTAAATGTAGGACTGGCGGGACTTGAAAAATAAAAACAACACAGATCTTTATTTACAGCGTTGTATCCACCAGACCAACACATCAGTCGTGGGAAAGGTCTTTTATGGAGTGTTAGTGATGTGAACACCCTCACTGACCTCAGGCTTTGTCCAGATGTTCCCACATGTAAACACAGCTAAATACAGACTGCGACTGTCGCGTCTCTCAACACACCTACGTATATTGTGCGTGCTATCACGTGCACGCACACGCTGTGGGATCAACAGATGGTATTGTTGCATCTGTTTTGGAGACTTTGAGCGTCACCTTTGCCCTCTAAACGCCACGGAGCGTTAAACTCTTGGCTGCATTGTCCATTAGAGAGCTTTCGTTGCTCAGCTAGCGATTAGCTACAAAATGTTTAAAGCTCAACAACTCATTAAGTGTTTTCCACAGTGGCCCGTACAAACCACTTTTATCATCACAAGACAAATTTAGGCCAGTCCCTTTTGAAAACGATCAGGTGAACTGGATTTAGAGGATTTACAGGGATCAGAATATGTGGAAATGACGTTCTTTGTCCGTAAGAGAGCTTAGAGTTTTAAATAATCACATTTTGAGTTTACTAGCCGTTTCACTTTTGTTTTTATATATATTAGTTTTCATTTGACTGAATTTATGCACTGGCTGTTGTTTTGGGGCAGGGTAGCTGGTCTTCTCAGGCCTTTAATGTCAGAGGTAAAACACAACAAATATGTCGGTTCAGCCAGCAACACACCCAACACCCAAAAGATAAAATAAATTCAGTCCTGTGTCTTATTTTCTTATTGCAAATGGCAGTTCAGATCTAATCATGTGGAGTTGTGTCGAATGATTATGAACAATTAATGTCTTACTCATCCTAGATTGATTTTTGATGGAAAAATAGTTTACTTTGTATCAAATTGATAAGCTAAGGGCTAGTCTGAACTAACTGCACTTGTAAATAGCTATAAAAGTGTGTGAAACTGACAGCAGTTTAACGATTCGTAATGTAGTGTTTGCATGAACCACGACTGGAGTTGCTTTAAAATGAACCATTTTGGAATTAAACCTAAACTGGGCAGTGACCGAAAGAATGAGATCACAGATACAGGAGGCTGGAATGAGTTTCCTCTACAGGGTAGCAGGACTCTGCCTTAGAGACAGGTTGGAAAGTTCAGTTATCAGGGAGAGAACCGCTGCTCCTCCATGTTGAGAGGAGCCAGTTGAGGTGGTTTGAGCATCTGGTAAGGATGCTTCCTGGGCGCCTCCCGAAGGAGGTGCTTCAGGCATGTCTGACTGGGAGGAGACCAAGGGGAAGACCCAGGACATGCTGGAGAGACTACATCTCTCGGTTGGCTTGGGAACACCTTGGAGTCCTCCCAGAAGAGCTGGAAGAGGCGGCTGTGGAGAGAGATGTCTGGACCTCCTCCTCAAGCTGCTGCCCCCACGACCTGACTTCGGAACAAGAGGAAGACAATGGATGGATGGAATTAAACTTTTTTTTTCAAGCTGAGGTCTTTCAAAGAGCTCTTCACACCAGCTGGGATATAAATTGTTGAAATTAATTTGATATAAAATGGATTATCACGAGTATAAATTAACTGTTTAAATTTGATTGATATTTAATGTATCAAGGGGCTGTTTAGAGGGCGATTTCTCTCTTTTTTTTTTAAAGCAAAATAACACACATGACATGAAGGATGTTTATATAGGCCTGTCATGATAAATAATAAATCAATTAATCGCACGATGAATTAAAATTATCGACCTCATTTTAATTTGTATGGAGTGGTGCAGAGGTTAGAGAAGATGAGTCTGTGATCGGAAAGTCGCAGGTTCAACTCCCAGTACCGTCAACAACAAAATGTGGGTGGAAAAGGTGAAACGCTCACACCTGCCTCCACCCTTTTTTGCCCCACTCTGGGCCCCTGAGCAAGGCCCTTAATCCCCACCATCTGCTCCCAAACACGTCTCTCTTGACAATGAGTTCTCGTGACTCAATGAAACTACCTGTATAAATAAAGGCTAAAAGAAAAAAAAAAAATCGGCTTTATCGTTTCTTCGTGTCTCTCTTTCTACTGAAGACACTGGATGACAAAAAGCTCAACTCCAGTGATCTTCACTGACCTCCCTTTCTCTTTAAAATCTATTTTAACCGGCCAAAAATCACATTTTTGGATCGTTAAAAGCAGCTAAACTACGAGCTAAGCTAACAGGCCGACCTTGGGGAAAAAACCTCCGTCTTGTCGAAGCTCCAAAATTCACGGTTGAAACCCGTGCCTTCATATAAAAAGTTGTTTTTCTCTGCAAAAATAAGCTCAGAACTTGTTTACTGTTTTTTTAAATTAAAAGCTTTGTGTGAAAAATGCTATGCTAACGAGCTCAAACAACACAGAGTGTCCACCATTTTGAGAACAGAAAAACAGGAAGGAGAGACAACCCATGTCACGTCAAGAGGCTTCTTAAAGAGACACGCTGCTCTCTCCCTCACTATCCATCCTTCAGTTCAAACGGTCTTGTAGTCAAAAAAGGTACTAGACACAAAAATTAACCAACATTTCTTCTTACAATAATATAATAATAATAAACAATATTATCGTTTATTGCAATAATTTCCGAGATAATTAATCGCACAGCAAAATTTGTTATCGTGCCAGACCTATGTTTATAAGATATCACACCCATTTTAGGTTATTGCTATTATTAACCTGGAACATTCTGCAAAAAGCTCTGAAGCTCTGGACCTTGACCTCTCTAAGTTCATGGGAAAAAAAACCAATGCAGTCATATTCCTGTTTTTAGTTTTTTATTTAAGTTTTTAACATAGCTGTTTTTTTTTTAACAACAAAGTTCATGATCGATCATCCAGGTATCAAATCAATAATTCTCAGTCAGGTCATCTGAACAGTTTCTTTTTTTATAGAGACGTTTCACCCTCTATCCAGAGGCTTCACCAGTCTGAGGACTTCCAGTAAACCGTTTCCCCACCAAGCATTTTTTTAAACACAATTTTCTTCCATTTACTTTTCATTTTACATGCTTTTTTATGATTGTATGCTATTGTCATCTATGTTCTCTGTTTAAACAGGTCTTTCTTGTAAAAGAGTCCTCGTGGCTCAATGAGACTATCTTGTATAAATAAAGGTTGAATGAATTGAACTGACTTGAATTTTAGGGCACCGACTCTTTGAACTTGAAGTTCCTACAGCACCTGAATGCACCACAAAGCCTACATGACTCAGGCAGAAAAAACACGCACCGCCCCCTGCTGGCGACTGCGTTAACTACACCCAGGCGGAGCAACGCATCATTCAATACTGTGCGAACCGCAGGCGAGGAGCAGAGTGAGGGAAGCCCCGCAAACCGACAGATGTGAGCGGGACTACGGCGACAGAACTGGCACCAACAACGACGGAGAACCAGCGACTGTGCTAATATGTGGCAACCTGCGTCGGAGCGACTCCAGGTAGGACGTCAGAGGCGCCGCGCGTCGACAGGGCAGCCGTGGGGTCCAGCCGCGATCAGAGCCTCTCACACCCGCGGATGTGCGTGGCTCGCAGCCCGCTCCGGTTTCTTTTATCCGCGCAAACTTGTCACTTATAAAAACAACATGAAATAAATAAACGTGACCTGGCTGATTTTTGTTCGGAGCTCTTTTCGTCTAGCTTTATTCACGTTACGCAAGCAGGCGCGCATGAAACTGTGCGCCTCCTGCGCTGCATTCCGGTGCTAATCCACGCCAATCCACGCATTTTCAAGTTACATGCGCGAGTCTATTTCATCCGGTTTTATGCGGTGCAGGCCCCGCTGCTGCCACGCCAAACCTCATTATCAGGACGCTATAAGTGCCGTTTTCCTTTGTAATGACGTGTCAAGCAAAGTGACCTGCTTAAAACACCCCGTTCATGACACTAGTTTGATACCCGGGGGGGTAGGAGCCGTGCACCGACCCCTTCACGTCTCCTGCAAACCTAATGCTCTCCAGATGTGGGCCTGCACACTGCCTGCCAAGTGAACTTGCACAATCTTGTCTCGCATTCAGGCGTCAAGAAGATGGAAGAACAAATGATTAGAGGCGAGAGCCCCGGGTTTGGCCCTCAGTTCAGATGTGAAGTTAGGGGCCGCTGTAAAACGCGCACCGTCTGGGAGCCAGGTGAAAATTGAACGTAGGCGACTGAGCCGCCATGATAGGCTCATGTGTTGCCTAGCAACCGCTTTCTAGAAAGTGAGCCCACTCCGAACTCTCCAGATTCACTGAGCGCAGTTTGAGTCTAATTTCTGGATAAAGTCGGCGTGATGCTCAAATTATCTCATGTTTTTTCTTGTCTGGAAGACAACTGCAAGTTTTGAACAAAGTAGCTTCATCACGTTTTACCAACATGTCAGACTTTTATTTACGTCCAAAGTTATGATAATATCA